CTCCTCTACACTGCCCCTCCGGCAGGTAAAATGCTTTTCGTCGTGCTGCTCATCAGCACCTCCTGCCTCATTAAATCCCGCCTCGCCCGCTTTTCGGCTCGCATGGCGAGCTCTACGGCTCTCGTTCCGAGTTGTCGCATGACGGCGGATCTCATAACTTTCGATCCACTGCCAGCTGTGTGTGCTTCTCGGTTGGGTAAAACCTCCTGCTGCGCTTCTGCATCTTCCCTCTTCCCCACACTTGTACCTGCCTCTTCGTAGACCTCTACAAGGTTCGAATTGTCACCAAATCTGCCTCAGCATACTTCCTTGTACCCTAACTGAACCCATATTTCGCTCATTGCACTTCTTGCGGGAATTTTGAATTATGCTTACGCATGAATGAATAAATATTATAATTTCTGCGGTCAAATAAGAGGGGAAGGAAGAATGGAGACCACAGAGCTGATTTTGCCAAAAGGGGGAAGGTGCGGCCTTTCTTACTTATTACAATATGTGCCTTGACATTTGTAAGACCAGGCAGTTTCGATGTCGCGCTATCGTGCATCACTCTACTAATTAGAATAGTGGATATTATGTCGACGCTGAACCGCTGGCATGCCCTGTTGCTCTAATCTTGCAATTATAATATCACAAAGTCCATTTTTACCTACTAACTTAGCCTTTTCCACACCCGTTTCTGTTTGTCACTACTTTGATCGCTCTCCTTCCTTTATAAGTACTTCCATTACCTACCAAGCATTACCTTAAAAGATTTTTTTCTTCTTTTCGTACAGCTAGCTTATTTCCCCATATGTCAATATCTTTCTTAGCTTTGCCGGATACATCCGTTTGGCGAAACACAATCAGCTTTGTCCTCCATTTGCATTGCTGAACGTTATACTGCCATTAGTTTTCATTATCTTTGAAATAAAGAAAAAGGAAATTTTCCATTTAGAGCGTGTGTAAATAAATGATTTTTAGTACATTTGCACTATGTGGCCGCTTGTGACAAAATGCATATTATCAAACGCAACTTGGAACGTTGCTTTCAGATCTTTATTCTAAATCTGCGAAAAAACCTCAGGAAGAACTTTTGGAAGTTTGTGGCAGTTTAGAGTTGCGTGCACCCTCTAAAATTATTCCCCAAATCATTAACATAAAGTGAAACAGCATGTTGAAGCTCATC